CCAAGAAATCCAAGAAGTAGATTTATCCAAATCATCCGCGGGCCACCGTATTGAGAGATGGCAGCCTTCCGTAACCAACCTTTCTTCCCGATGCAAATGATTTCGTACTAAAGCCCCACACTCAAAGCAAATGACTTCAGATTAACCTGTCTCTCAACTTCTAGTCCCCATCTACCCTTCATCATCTTCCTGCAATTACCTTCTTCTTTTATCCGCTTCTCTTCAGTCGAAGCAGAACTATTCTCCAGCTCCAGGCGACGCTGTTCCTAAGCTATGGCGCTGAAGTCATTCGTTGAAATCCAACCGGACTCGCACTTCCCGATCCAGAACCTTCCGTACGGCGTGTTCAGGCCTGAAGCGAGTTCGGAGCCCAGACCGGGCGTTGCTATCGGAGACTATGTGCTGGACCTGTCCGTCGTTGCCTCCGCCGGTCTCTTCGACGGTCCGTGCCTCAAAAACTCCGACTGCTTCAAGCAGGTGTGCTTTCTTCCCTAGTTGAATTTGTTTTTAACTCCCTTTGTTTTCAAAATAGAGGCAGAGATAATCCAGAATGATGCTGAAAGTTGGGAATCATGAGAATTTTGTGCTGATTGAGTTGACATTTAATATCTGTGGAATGTGTATGTGGCGTTTGAGGTCTATGTTTTTAGTACTGACCTATTCTCACGCTGTTACTGCCATCTCCAACCGTTGTAGTCTAATAAGTAATAACAGAGGAAATGGATTGCCGTGTGTGTGTCTGTGTGTGTGTGTGTGTGTGTGTGTGTGAGAGAGAGAGAGAGAGAGAGAGAGAGAGAGAGAGAGAGAGATTTAAGCAGAGATTTCGTATAGATGATGAAAGGTACATTGTGCTTGTTTCTAGAATCTCAAGATTATGTGTTTAAATCATTGACCTTGTGTTAGAAACTATTTTAGGAGTTAATATAATGCTGGATTTCTTGACCATCTTTTTTGCAGTTATTTGAAATTGTTGCCCCAACAGTCTAAATAATATCCCTCTTCTAATCATTTCATTTGTGCAATAAAAAACTAATCAAATAGATAATAAAGTATATGAGGAAGATTTTGTTTAAGAAGTCTAGCACTTAATGCTTAACGACGTATTATACAGCCTAATCTCAATAAGTTCTTGGGGCTGGGGAGGCCAGCATGGAAGGAAGCTCGAATGACATTGCAAAAATTGTTATCAGGTTGGCTGCTCGCATTAGTTTCATAAATATGTGGATTTTAGTTTTTCTTTTCTCTGTATCGCGTTACCGAAATTAATTTGATTGATGTTACTAATTACTGCATTGCCTCACCACTTGTTAGACAAAGATTGGTACTTCAGTTGTGTTGGTTCACTTTATTTATTTATTCCTTTTTTTTTTTTTGTTTTTGTTCACATGATGCAGCTGCAGAACCAATATTGCGTGACAATGCAAGTTTAAAGGAGAAAGCACTTGTGCCTATGGTATGATATGTAGGCAGTTTTAATTTCATAGCTCACACAGTTCCATTTTGCTTCTTAAATATGTGTTGATGTGTCAGGACAAGGTTCAAATGCTTCTTCCCATTGCAATTGGGGACTACACAGACTTCTTTGCATCGAAACATCATGCGAAAAATTGTGGACTTATCTTCCGAGGCCCGGAAAACCCAATTAACCCAAATTGGTATAGTTATTTAAAATGAACTATCTCTTCCTCTCTATGTTCATTCCCACTTTAGATGAGGCAATTCTCTATCTCTTCCTCTCTCATCCTCTTTTGGGTGCCTGCAAATGTTTCAGGTTTCACATTCCTATAGCCTACCATGGACGTGCATCATCTATCGTCATATCTGGCACTGACATAATAAGGCCAAGGTTACAGATTTTTTTCGTCTTTTCTTATAGGCTATTGCAATTTTTTTCCTTGTTCTCAGTGCATCCTTCATTAAGGAGAAAATAATCCATCTTAACTGCTGCATATAATTCCAGCTAACATGAGTGTAATGGAAAGTGAAGTTACAGGAAAAACAAAGTAAGAAGAAGTGCTAACATGATTTATTCATCCACGAAGAACATAATACTTAAAATGACTAAACCTCGTGGCTTTCCCGCCAACATTCTGCAGCCTTGTGCTGACAAAGTTATACTTCATTCGGAACCTTTGCTACAGATTTTGATTCCTTAGGTGTTTTCTCACATGGTCATAACAATTTATTTACCTCAGCTTGAAATTCATCAACTTCTTCTCTGTTTAGACTTGAGCAATTTCTTTAGTACAACAACAACAACATACCCAGTATATTCCCAACAGGTTGGGGTCTGGGGGGTCAGTTGTACGCAGACCTTACCCTTGTAATTATACAAGGAGGCTGTTTCCGTAGCGACCCAAGGTGCATTGCGCCGTTTGATATAATTTTTTTTTTCTAGAAACTTCACTAATAGAAGAAGCACTAGAATTTAATTGAGCCATTTTGATCTAGTCCATTATTAGCACTATGCCAGGAGAATTGTCAACAATGACTCTTCCAGCTCCATTTGCAATGGACAAACTTGAGCAATTTCTTTAGTATAGGAGTGTATTTGAAATGAAGAGAACTTCTGGAGCATGTGATTCTTATGAGAGCCTCAGTAAGATGGGATTGCTGAAAACTCAATGAAACCCAAAGCGAGGTCTTAGAGTTAGACTTGTATTTAATTGTCAACCAACTTACAACTTTCGTTGGCATTAATTTCTATTATTAGTACAATTTGTTTTACGTCCTGCTCCACTAGAAGCCGGAGCTCATATATCAGACAACTTTTGCCCCTTCAGTAATTTTCTGGTTTAGCTTAGAATAGTCACCCCTTTTGGATTTTGCCAATTGACTTAGTTGAGTAAGAAATTTTTTACTTCTAAAAACTTATATAGCATGCTGCATGATTTGATGAAATGTTGTTTATTCCAGAGGGCAAGGCCACCCAGCTGCCAACTCGCTGCCCTATTTTGGACCTTCTCGTAAGCTGGACTTTGAACTGGAAATGGCAAGTTTTTATGACAGAAAAATAAAACTCACTTGATTTTCACAAATCATTAACCAGACTCATCTGTTATTCGAATCCTTATTACAAGAGTGTGAAATTATAATGGCCCGATGGCTTCCGAAATTAAACACCATTTTTGTTTTTTGTGTGGCTTGTGAAAATAAATTTAGGCTGCGGTTGTTGGTCCTGGAAATGAATTGGGGAAGTCTGTGGATGTTGACGAGGCTGCGGATCACATCTTTGGACTTGTGTTAATGAACGACTGGAGTGGTACGAATCAGCGTTAGAAAATATAACAAATGCACATAGGNGCCCAAAAAAAAAAAAAAAAGAAGATTGTTCACTTGATGATAATTCATGCTTATTGTGACAGCAAGAGATATCCAGGCATGGGAGTATGTGCCTCTTGGCCCTTTTCTGGGGAAAAATTTTGGTAAGAAATCATTTTACCTGTCTGGAATTCCATTTATAATCAAAATATCAAAATGGTGCCATGAACATTCAGAATGCCATTTTCATGTGTGGGCCCCTTGCAGGCACAACTATATCCCCATGGATCGTGACCTTAGATGCTCTAGAACCATTTGCCTCGGACGCTCCAGAACAGGTTCTTAATCTGCTCATCATTCTTTTTTTGGGACGCTCTACTTTGACTGGCCCCATCTATTAACGTGATTGTTTGCATATTGTTAATTGCAGAGTCCTTCTCCCTTGCCATATCTTGCAGAGAAGGAATCCAAAAACTATGACATCTCCTTGCAGGTTTTTGGCTCCTTTTATGTAACTCAACATTTTATTTTATTTTATTTTTGTTTGGTATCAAATACTCTCTCTCTCTTCATATTTACCTAAATTTTGATTGGTAGAAACAAAAGAAAAGAAAAGAAAATAGATTAAGAAAAGCAATAAGTCAGATTTTTTTATGGAATAAAAAAATAAAAAAATTGTTTATAAATCTATTGAACATGGATTCACTGTCTCTCCTCAGGTTTCCATTGTACCAGCTGGACATAAAGATGCTTTCACTGTGACAAGAAGCAACTTCAAACACTTGTGAGATTTCTACAGCCTTTTTCGGTCCCATAATTTCCTTGCCTTTGATGAAATTTGAGACCGTAAATTTTCTTGCGCTATGTTGGTGCAGATATTGGACGATAACCCAGCAACTTGCCCATCACACCATCAATGGCTGCAACCTAAGGCCCGGTGACCTCCTCGGGACAGGAACTATAAGTGGCCCTGTAAGATACTATTGAAAAAACTGAGGCCTCTACAGTTTGCATAGCACTCTTTGATTAAATTACGTATTGATCCTTAAAATCCATTTTGAAGGAGCCGGAGTCATATGGGTGCTTGCTAGAATTGACCTGGAATGGGCAAAAGCCTTTATCTTTAGGTGGAACGAGCCGCACCTTTCTGGAAGATGGCGATGAAGTCATTTTCACTGGCTGCTGCAAGGTTTTAATTAATTCTTGTGCACCTTCATCAATTTGCAGTTTCCTCTTTTAGCTTTTTATTTTTATTATTTTGACTGGAATTGCAGGGTGATGGCTACACCGTTGGTTTTGGCAAGTGTTCTGGGAAGATTATTCCATCTCAACCTTGAAACCCTCTTTTTCATCTTGGCGAAATTGTGGAAATTATTATTGTCTGGTCTAATAAGCATGCCGAGTTTATGGTTTGGGCTTAAAGATTTCATGCAAATGGTCTTTGTGTTGCTATATATGTGGATTGAGAATTGATCTTTTTGGTTAATAATCAACCGGATTCGTGAAACTGTTCTCAAGGAAATTCCTAGTAATCCATTAAATAAGATTTTCCCTTTTAAAAAAAAAAAATCAAGTTGCAGGTTTGGTATCTTTTAGATTGTTCGAAGTAAGATAATCTTTGCATGAATGGTATGGGCACACCAGTGCATTGAGGTACATCATAAAGAGCATTGAATGCTCACGGTTTGTCCTCTCTCCACTTTACTAAATAGTTTGGTATTTTGTTTGGAGGGTTTTATATTCTATATGGTCCAACACATTCACGTTGATAACCCAATAACTCATTTTCAATGGATTGTGGATACATCTAGAAATTGTCTCACAGAATTGTTATGTGTAGGATTGTGATTTGATAGTATGTGAATATTAAGAAATAACTTAAGAAAAAGAAAATGCAAAAGCAAAATTAATGTTGAGGCCCGTAATATTACATTTTCCTTAAATTGATATTCNGTTCCCTAAGATACAATTACTCCTGATTTGTGAACTTTGCAAAATACAAATACAAGTATGAAAATTCAACTTAAAATGATATAGTAAATAAAAATATCAAAATTAAATGAATACAGAAATAGTAATTTCTGTCGTTTCTATGGATACTTTAAGCGGTGAGGTCTTCTCTATACACTGGAGCTTTTAATTTCATTTCATCGATGTCGAAGGCGTGAACTCAACCGCAATTGTGAGGTAACGTCCGATGCCGCTCGATGAGTTTAAAACAACCTCCGGTGGGATTTTGATTTTTGCCATGTATTAGCTTCTGAGGGTTTGCTGAAAATTTTTGAAAGCAATACGAAAGAGAGTGGGCGATTTGAGACGCGGGTGATAACTGATAAGCACGATTGGAGTATTGCCTTAATTTATGGATTCTGTTTGATTGATAATAACTTCTTTAAAGTTGTTACCAACTTTGTCACACATTAAATTTCTGGTAGGTTTGCAAATAATATATATATATATATATATATATAGTTTATTTACAAATTAATCCCCTCTTAATATAATTTGAAAACGTGCTGAGCCTAAATGGCTGCCTCGCACGCTTCGGAAGCTTACTTGGCAACATTACATGCTTCGGCTTTTGGTTCGGATACATTCCTTAATTGTTTAAAACAAAATACTTAATAAATAGAAATTTTGCTTAATCCGATCCCTCCAACTCTCAAATAAATAGGATTCTTATATGCCGTGTAAATCCTCTAACTCCAATCGAAATAAGATTCTTATCTTATAAAGCTTACTTTGCAACATACAATAACTTTTTTATATAGTTTAAATCAAAAAAATACTATAATTTTACAAAAAATATATAGCCACTTATATATTATATCTTTTCAATCCAAATAAATTATTTAAATCTTTTTAGAATATCTATAAAAATACATTGAAATAGTGATAGAATATTACATGATCTTTCTAATATAAATAAAATAAATTTTGATGAACACCATGGTAAATAAATTATTTAAATGTTTTTAGAATATCTATACAAATACATTGAAATAGTTATAGAATATTACATGATCTTTCTAATATATTTTAAAGAGTTGAAATAATTATACAACAACATGTGTTTTTCTATTATTTTATGTTTTATATTTTTTTTTTAAACAACCCGTGTAGTACACGGGTGTCATACTACTATATATATTAATTCAGAACGTGCTGAGCCTAAGTGACTATGTGGCAAAATTACATACTGTGTTATTAGGTTTGGATAGATTTTAATTTACTTCCAATCCAAAAATAATTAGGTTCGGATTATCCATAAATATGCTCGTTATATGGTCATGTTACATGTATTAATTGCATTTTAACATCATTTCTTATTATAATCATTGAATTGTAAATTTATTTTGAATGTGAATAACTTTTGTGTTTTTTATCAGTTTTACATATACAATATATCAAATTAATCATCTCTTGATGAGCTTCGATTTAACATCCATATTGTATGTATAAAAAAAATAAGTTATATTTATCTTTATAAAAATAATAAAATTATTTTTAATATTATTAGAAAAATAAATTTATTTATCAATTAATATATGTATATTTCAAGTAGTTATATGATATAAGTTATAAAAATTACTATATATAACACATGTAAGTCGCACAAGTAACACGTGTCATTTTAAAATATATAATAATATATTTTTATTATAAAAAAGTAAATAAAATTTAAAATTTAAGAATAAATTTTTAATACACGAGTGTTTTACTAGTATACATTATTTGTAATTGTGTAACAAAGTAGGTAATATAAGGTGCACTCAGTAATTTTCTCTTTAATAAATTAGTGGATGTCGGCTGACCACCGACTAAGCCCAGGGCCCAGGAAAAATGACTTGGGCCCACAGCTAACGGGAAATACCCAAGCGCAATACTCGCCAACGTCAAGTTTACAAATGTACACATTCTCGACCGTCTCTCTCACCCCTTTACTCTTCTCACTCCCAACTTATCTTTTTCATTCTCTGTTAGAAATGAAGTCCTATCGCAGGCCTCGATTTTCCCCTTCCACCGCCACCACCGTTGTATACACCTTCCACAACGAAACCTACCCTTCCAATCCCGGCGGCGAAGTCACCGGAATTCCCATCCGATCGACGCCTGACGAGCTGCCGGCGGCGGCGGAGACCATCCCTATCACTGTTCACATCCCCCAACCGAGGGAATCCTATGCGGCCGTTAAGATACAGTCAGCCTACAGATCTCACGTGGTTCGCATGCTCGTTCGGAAGATCTCCGCTGTCAATTCTGAAGCCAATTACTGGCAGAGGCTTATCCAACGCCAGGCACGATTCTATGTTCTGTACTGATTTCGATAATTACTTTTTGATCCGTGTGTTTTTGGCTTTTTGCTGTGCCAGTTGAAAAATTGTGCTCGTCTTGGGTTATATCATCTCAAAGTGGATTTTGTATTATGGTGAAATTATTAAAAAAACATTATGATTTGCGCAAAGCTCGCTCATCACTATTTGTTTTCTGTATTTTTTTCCTTCCACCGAGCAGAGTATATCCAGTAACTGGCCATGGGATGAATTACTCAGTCTAAAGGCTATATTTGATTCAGTTTGTAGTTTGATTTTAACTCTTATGGTTTGACCCTGTAGCTTGTTTGTGAGATGAAATTATATTTGCAAGTTTATGCTTTATCATCCTCCTGTGTTTGCTCGATAGATTGATTCAATTGCTAGATTTTTATGGTCTGTTTTGTCTCGCTACACTTTTTTTTTATCATGCATTTTTGGATTTTAAACATATTGTGTCTAAAAATATATCTTAACTGTGTCTTGACAGGAGACAGTGGATTCCGTGCGTACCAGTGAGCGTGAGCGGATTAAGATCAACGAGGCACTAATGGGCTTGTTATTCAGGCTCGATTCAGTTCCCGGGCTTGACCCCAATGTGAGGGAACTGAGGAGGCATGTTAGCCGCAAGATTGTGGGCTTGCAGGAAATACTTGATGCAGTTTCAGATACCAGAGTCGAGCATTGGGATGGATTCTTGAGGGATTGGGATGACATTGTTGCCGGGCTTGAAAAGGAAGCTTGCAAAGAAAAAGGAGGCGGGAAGGAAATAGAGAGGTTTTGTGCCGAGCATTTGGGTTTCCAGTGTCTGCAGAGGTTTCTTCGGGATCAATGATCTTTAGGTACACATGTGTGCTCTTGTGTGTGTATACATATACATATTATACTTATTGGTTGATTTGTACAATAGTTGGTGTGATAAACTCTGTAACTAATACTTAGCCCATATTTTGTACTAAGTTGTATATCCCATTGGCCGAACAACAAAATGGGGAGAAAGATGAAGTGAAGAATATTTTAAAGTGTAGATTGCTGTTGTGAAGGTGACTGATTTTGGGGCTTGGTGCAAGTTTCTGATGGGTGTCCATCGTTTATGTGCTGTTTTCATAGTACAGTTTCTATCCCTCAAACTTAGTTTCTGTGTGAAGAGAACTGGTACTTTCTGATTGTTCTTGAGGAAAATCTCCTTAGGGCATGTCTAACTGCACAACTTGAGCAAAAAGATTGGACTTAGTAAATGCTAAGACCAATTGTGATTGAACAAACTTAATTGGTCCCAATGTGTTCCCTTCACACATGTGTGCCAATTGATCCGACTAATGCATCGTTCTCTTAAGTCGGTGCCATTTAGTATAATTAGAAGCCATGATTTTCTTGTCAAGGGTTGGACAGAGATGTATGCTGCTAGGATTGGCTACTGAAAAATGTCACCATGGTCCTTTGTATCATTTTTTATGAGGTTTCCAAATAAAGTTAATACTGCAGTAATTCCTCTAATTTTTGTAAAACCTAGAAGCTTCCTTTATTGATTTTTGACCTGACAACAACATGAATCATATTTCATGGAGGTAATGTTTTTTATTTTTTCCCCTATATTAAATTTTTTTAAGAATATTGCAAGAATCTTTCAAGTTATGTGCTGTACTGAAAAGTTTGATGGAGTAAATTGCAGCCCGTTTTAGGCGAAGGTTGGCCCAAATACTTATAAAAAACACCCAAAGCTGCTTACTCTTTGAGTGCTCTATCTGCTACCATGGGCTCTCTCAATTATGGCAGGGTCAACTGCATAAATGAGCATAGGACAAATGTGAGAATCAACAGCCCAGTAATAACTGGTCCCATTCTCCATCTCAAATCCAGTTTTCTCTTCAGCCACACGGTTCCACCTATTGCCCCAAAGTCTTGGATTGAGTTTGAGTTCAAGAGGTGAGGCTCGTAAAAGGGCAACTCAACCTTCATACCTAGTAAGAGTACGCCAATAGTTGCAGCCGCCTCTAGAACTATATGTAAGCCCAACACAGAAAAAACACGCGTCAGGAATAAAATGACATTTTTAGGATGTTTGTCCTTGTGGAAACCTAGAATTATTAAGTCATAACTAAGGATCTTGTTCAAACCCCCTTGGAATTTCTTGGGAGGAATTTTCGCTTCCATTGGTGGAGATTTTTGGGCTTGTATCTCGTAGGAGCTTAATGGCAAACAAAAAAAGAAAAGCAAAATGGAACAAGGAGAGGGATGGGTGGTTTAGTGAGCTAGTGTCGAAATCCAAGAGAAGAAAGTTCACAGAAAAGGCTTTTGGGATGATAAAATTTAGCAAGCTCAAACAGAGGGGAAGAAATGCAAAGCGGCACTCGAACAACACAGTCAAGAACGCGAAGGATCTGAGTTTACCTTCAGCCTTGGGGAACCAATTTGATTATGCCATTACAAGAGAAAACTGACTAAAGTATTCAAAACCATATCATGATGAAATTATGTGTATCTCTCTCATAATTTCTCTTTCTCTATGATTCTTTAATATACATGTATATTTTTTTTTTCTTTTCCTAATAGAATGAAAAACTAGAGGAATTTATGATGGTCCTGAGAAGGTCATGCAACATTTACAAAGGCTGAAAGTGCTTGGATTTTATGGACTTAATTCAGCTATAGGTGTTGATCACTGAATTACTGTATCAGGCTTGCGTTTGGGGAAGTAATTGGAGAAAACTAACACGCATTACCTCCAAATTCCATTTAGTTACACATTCACGATGATTATTTAGATTGTAAATATATTAATATTTACTATTTATGAATGGTCGAGGGACAACCACTTCTTGATGGAGACCCGTTCGTATGTGACGTTGGTGCAAAGGCTCACCAGAGACTTCATTACGTCCGGATCCGGGGGCTCTGCGGTGAGTACTTAAACAACTGCTGTGCAATATCCAACCATTGGATATTAAAAGATACAGTGACCATTGGATATATTGTAACATATCTAAACAACTGTTGTGCAATATCTAACTGTTGGATATTTAAAGATACAGTGACCATTGGATATATTGTAACATATCTAAACAACTGCTGTGCAATATCCAACCGTTGGATATTAAAAGATACAGTGACCATTGGATATATTGTAACATATCTAAACAATTGTTGTGCAATATCCAACCGTTGGATATTAAAAGATACAGTGACCATTGGATATACTGTAACATATCCAACCGCTTATATTGCACAGGAGATGGTGCTGCGAGTTTTAAAACTCACCGTAGAGACCCCCGATCCATTACGTCCACGGAGTCGGGCACCAGATATTCTAGGCCTTCATATCTTCATGGCACATCAATCAGTCGTCTCTTTTCGGTATTAGATTGTAAAATCTAGCTTGATGAAGGGTAATATGGTCAACTTTGGACAATGTTATAGACTATTTATGCATTGTGCATATTTTTATGTGAATCTTAAGTCTAGAGATGAGATTTAGATTGAGATTTCGGATATGTTTTTTTTTTTAGAAATCTCAATCTTAAAGTCTTAAATCCTCCTAATTTTGTAAGACTTTTTAAAATCTTAAATGAATATTTAAGACTTTTAAAAGTCTTGAAAAAATTAAATACACCATATTTCTGAAGTCTTAAAAAGTGTTTAGAAATTCTAACTAAATACATAATACATAATTAACTAAAAGTGAAAACTTGATATAATTGAGCTACAAAAAATAAATTTTCCCAATAAGTTAATTCTATGGACTTCATGTTGGCAACCAATCAAGTTCCGTTTATTTTCTTACTCGAGTGGAGGGTCGGTAAAAAACTAAAAATACAACTTCCGTACTACTTAAATAGTTATATTTCTTGTCCACAAAAAGAAAAATATATTTATTTGTCTTGATGGAAGGTTCCGATATCAATAAAAGTTAATTTTTCGGTCCGAAGTTACCAACTTCGCTTATTCAAAAAAAAAAAAGAAAAAACTAAATAAATAAAAATTCACAACGCGCCAACATTAACCTTTTTTAACTTTCAAGCTAAGTAGGGTCTTCACCGTATCACGAGCACATTTGTACTTTGACATTGTCATTTATATGCTTCTTTTATTGTGTGTAATAAAAATAAGTAAATCAATAAAATTGTGTACAAAAATTAATTAATAAAATTGAATGATTTTCATTTACGGAATTCTATGAATAATTAATTAATTTATAATTTACTGTAGTTTTTGTTACTGAATTAATTGACATAATAGTTCGATAACACCTTGTCAATTGGTCAGATACTCAATACCTAGAATAAATGTTTAAGCCAATTTTTATAGTTATTTCATTTAATAAAATTTTCAATTTCTTGTGCCACAATTATGCTACAATATTATCTTATAATATTTATTATTATTTGCATGGTGACTTTACCGCTCGTTTATTTTCTTAAGTTTCATGTACATAATCCTCTTTTATGTTATTATTTATTAAATCAAATCTATGGGAAAAAATACAGAAAATATTATTTTATGTTAAAAATTAAAATTCATATTTATTTGAAATATATATTATGAGAAATCCGTATGGCATTCATTAATTTTAAATTGGTATTTATAGAAAAATATTATTTTGTATATCAAAAAATAATTAATATTTATTTTATATATGACATATTGTTGTTACATCAAACTAGTTAAAACAAAATTAATTTGATATATCATTACATTGATGCTACCACATGAAAATATTATAAAGTTTCTATTAAAGAAAATATGAATATAGNATGGATAGCGCTATGAGCTGACCATCAGCTTGACCGCCCGCACAAGGTCCCTCGCGAATGCTCCGACCGCCGCCACCTCCGCCAGCCCCCGCTCGTACGCACCGCCCCTTAGCAGCGGCGGGAAGAACAACCGAAATCCCGTCCCCATCACGAACCCCACGGTAAGGGGCGTCGCCACCGCCCGCGGCGGCCGCCACCTCCCTCCGGCCGCCTTCTTCACCGCGATCTCCCCCGCTAGGCACGCGCCGTGCAGGACGAAGAACCACGTGACCTCCCACGTGGGGCGCGCGCGGCACAAGTAGTAGAATATCAGCTCGTGCAGCAGCCCGGACACCAGGAACGTGGCCGCCACCGCCGGCAACGGGGCCCACCTCCGCCCCACGGCCCGCCCCGCCCACCCCAGCGTCGGCAGGTACACCGTCGGCCGCAGCGCACGCGTCGCCATCAGGTTCCAGCGCCGACCCCAAAAGTCCTGCAGCGACGCCGAGAGGTACGGCTCGTCGAACTGCGGCTCCAGCTCGGCGCCGACCAGGCCGCGGGCCAGCGCCGCCGCGACCGCCAGCGTGAGCTCCAGGCTCAGGTACACGTGTAAGCTCTGGATCGCCATCAGCACCTTCGGGCGTATGTACTCGCCGTAATCGTAGATCTGGAAAATCAGGGCTAACAGGAGGGCTTTGGCGGCGTAATTGAAGATCGATTTGCCTTTATCCCCAAAATTCTCGCCGGATTTAGGGTTTTTGGGGCGGAGCTTGATGGGAAGGCAGGCGACGGCAACAAATTGGGGGAGGGAGAGGGAGGGGTCGTCGGAGAGTGGGCCGTTGCCGGCGGCGAGCATGAGGAGCTTGAAATTGGCGAGCCAGGAGAGGAAGAAGGCGGTGGTGCCGGTGAGGTGCATGGAGGAGAGGCGGAGGGGGAGGAGGAGGAAGAGGAAGACGACGGGGAGGAAGGCGGCGAGCCTGTGGCGGCCGGCGGGGAGGGTCCTGGCGGCGAAGTAACAGTAGACGAGGGAAAGGTAGGCCGACAGCCATACCTTGATGAAATTACTGATTTCGCCTTCCATCCAATATGCTAACACTTCCTTGATGTTGCCCTCCATTATGATTATTATTATTAATCCAAGTTTCTCAAAGAATAGAGCAAGTTGAATTGCAGATGTTGAAGATTTATGGTTCAGTCAGTACTGGAGATTTTTATTTATGTTATATATGGTTGAAAAGCGTGAAAGGAATTAAATAATTAATTATATTTTTAGGACGAAATTTTTTAATGTAAAAATTGTGGCGCCAGTGAGGAGATGGAATTGAGAGTATCTGACTTGTGATTTGATTGATATATATATATATATATGTACAAGAGCCACCATATTTCGTTGACCAATGAATACGATTAGCGTTGTACAACGTATTATATTGGCAACAACAATTAATAAATTATATCTATTGTTTGCATGTATATTAATGTAAATGTAATGGGATATGTAATAATATACATGTTCCCTCTGTACACGATTCTCATTTCTGTTTAAAAAAAATCTGGTAGTATCACTAGTACAAAATACTTGAGATTTTATTACTGGATACTAGTACAAAAACAAAATAGTTGAAGATTTTATTATTGGAGGCATAATTCTCCGCATTTTTTGGGTGAAATATTTTTTCAAACTTTTTGAATAAAAATATTAAATTTTCATCTGCTAGCTGTCTGAAAAACTTAATATATGGTTACCGAATCTAATACTAGTATATATTTTTTCAGACAGTTAAAATTTCAGACAGCTATAAAATTAATTTTCATCAAAAAAGGTTACCAATTTGCAAAACTAATATTGTCCAACACGATTTCCTTTTTTTCTGAAAAAGGTGGATGCAATATAAGGAAAAGCTAATTTCAAAAGTTTTTCTACTATAAAAACAACTATATACGGGAAATAAGAAACTAATGTTTAATTTTTTTTTTTTTGGTACAAAGAAACTAATGTTTAATTAACTAAAAGTTTGAGTACATATATTACATTACACATGTGACCACTATTGAATGAATATTGCTTCTGTGACCAAATTGAGTCGAATTCTTTTTTGTTGCATTTGACGTCCAATACGGAGGCAACCATTTTCAAAGCCATCAATGGTTATTCAACAGTCCAAAACCTTATTCCATAGGTGATTACTCCCGGTTTTTTTTTTTTTTTTTTTAAATAACATAAGGATGTCCTAATGTAAAAATAATAAAATAACATATTACAACCCAACAGAAATATATGAACAATGAATCCGTAATGAACAAGAAACACAAAATAATTAAATAAGGACATAATGTATATTATACATGCATTAGTTCTATTATTTATTTATGTTAGATGATTCAAGAGTAATCTTCTTTTATTTTGCTACGTCAAATTGGAGATCAATACATCAATAATATTGCAAATTTTTTCTTAATTCATTTGGCAAAACATGTACTTTATTCAAACACTTAGAAATATTGTGATAGACAAACTTCATAATTGTATGACTTTATAAGGTATTTCTACTAACAGTTCATGAATATCTCTGTGAAATTACCGACCGTGTAATTGAAATTGCTAATAGTTTGTTTTTTTTTTTTATTTTATCATTTATAAACTACAACATTACTCTCTCTCCATATTGACAAATTGGTACTTACCCCATGGAGGCATCGCCCCATGGGGT